AAATTCCCATTTTTTCACATCAATACTTATATGTTATCATTATTCTCCAAACTAGGAGCCACCAATGAATCGTCATCAAAATTTCAAAGTCTCGTCTCTGTTTCAAAGATGATTTGGTGTCTTTTCTTTACATTATACCAAAGTTGATAAGGGATCTGTATCATAATTTTTTGAACTGCACGTTCAATTCAAGTAACCTCCCTATTGTTTTCCTATTTGCATTTTATTATCACTAAAAATTTTCTCCATTCCAAATAACCTCTTCCTAGGGGTACAGAAAGTCTTGTGGACAAACGCACACCTAGTAAATGCTTAACATGCTGAGGCTGTTATACTTTGAAACTCTTTATTATGCTTTGTACTCTACTCAGGAAATTCTGAATAACAAATGCCTAGTTTGTTAAATAGCGTAGGAACTTTAAAGAATTTAATTGACCCTTTCTCTTTGGGCATTGTCACATGAGGACCTCAAAAATGTGTAGGAATATTTTTCCAGTCTTTACATTTAAGGTAAATTCCTCCCATTGTCAAAATCAAAGAGTTTTTAAAAATCAGTCATTCCTTTCTGATTATAAATTATGCTGGGAAATGGTTACATAATGGTCATGATTTATGCCCCAGGTTAAAACTACAAAATTACATTAAAGGTCTATGCTTACCATCTGTCCTACATACTGACATACACATTTTCTGAAATTGCTTTTACTGTGTCACTTGCCTATTCCAGAATGAAAAAGGATTCCCAGCTTCCAATAGCGACATCTAGTTATTTAGATTCCCTTCCTCGGCCACTTACATATTCCTTCCAGCCCTATCTCCTTGCCTTCACTAACTTTATTCCTTTTCCTGCCCCCCACCTCGGACACACCAGGAATGTACCCCCTCTAACTGGCTGACCCCATCTGCCCTACAGGCTATGACATTATGCATGGTCTAGCCCACAAAAGAATTTTACCTTCTGAGAAATATGGTCTATCTGGTCACAGCCACAAAACATAGCATTTAATCACTAATACAAAACAAAACTACATGTGAAGTTTATTTTTCAAACCTTCAGTGAGATCTCCAAAGCATATGGTCTGGCTACACATTTTTGTTTCCCTCCACGTGACTAAAGCCCCAAAGTGCTTGTGATACTCTTTTTAAAATGTTTTTAGCATTTTTTTTTATTGTGGTAAAATACACACAACATAAAGTTTACCATCCTAATCATTTTTAAGTGTACATTCACACTGTTGGGCAACCATCTGTGTTATCCGTCCCCAGAAACTCTTTGTGACATTCTTGTCATCTATGGGAGGCAGGCAGAAAACTGCCGGTTAGTTTCTAATGATGAAATCCAGCTTTAATTTATAGAACTGTATGCCTAATAAAGGTGTATCTAACTGTGTATTAATTGTACTTCAATAGCACTGATTAAAAACAGAATGAGGAGGGACGCAGTGGGAGATGAGGCTGGTGACAGTCGGGATCCAGACCACAAGGGGCAGGGGCATGAAGGGGGACATGGGGATTTCATCAGGAGCCACAGGAACCTTGAAGAGTCCTAGGAGGATGGTGGCACTCACTGCCAACATTATTGAGCACCTAGTTCCAGAAGCTGCCAGCCACTGGAATTAATCACATGCGTGTTCAGGAAGCTCACCCCGGTTGCATTATGGGTGGTTGATGGGGCAAAGCTAGTGGTCTTTCCTATCAAGCAGATAAGAAGTACTAGATTAAGGCAGCAGTGGAGGGAATGGAGAGCCAAGGTTTATGTATTTTTTGTTTTGCCTATTGATAGGGTGACCACGAAATCACAGATTCCATCATTTTGTTCTAATTTTTAATCACTTGAACCAATGGCTACCTCAGCCTGAATACATTTTATGTGACACATCAAATAGCATGAAGGTCAGTCAGCAACAAGGAATGCGAGGTACAGATAATAATACATAAATCTGATCATGTGTTATATTCAAGGCACTGTGGTAGTAATGCTTGCATTAGATCACTGTCATTTTGGTAGAATAATTATGGCTGCTTAGAGGGACAACTGTTACTCCACAAGGCTTTTGTGGGTAAAAAGGGAGATAACTTGAACATTTATCAATACAGGAATGGTTAAATAGATTGTAAGAAAACATACTGTGAAACACCAGGCAATGAACCCATATGTAGTCACAGGGATGATCCCCCAAATACACTGGTAAGTATCACATCAACTGCAGAACATATTACAAAGTATGAGGACATTTATGTAAAAACACTGATTTGTTTGTATATGTAAACGGCTCTATAAACACAGGAAAAGGTCATAAAAGAATATACCTAAGGGGGCTTGGGGATGAGAGTAGAGGGAGCTTTCAGTTGGCCTTCCGTATTGCAGCGAGGATAGAGCCACGTATTCCTTCCACAGAAAACTCAAGTTTTATAGGTCAGTGTACCAAGTGAGTAGATTGTATTAGTTATGGGCTGATAGGTCTTCCATACAATCTTTACTGGTTATTCAAATCATAATGATCCTCATAATAATGGCCAAGACTCTATTAGTATGTGTGTGCACATGCCCACTTGTGCATCGTTTTTTAATCTGCCAAACTGCTTTTAGACTGCATTTGTAAATGATAGTTACCTAATCAGAGGACATTTGAGATGAGGACATACTGGCTTTTGCAAAGGGTTTCTCCTTGAGTTACAAGAAAACCATTTAAGAATACAACTTAGGGGCGCCTGGGTGGCTCAGTTGGTTGAGCGTCTGCCTTCGGCTCGGGTCATGATCCCAGGGTCCTGGGATCAAGCCCCACATCGGGCTCCTGGCTCAGCGGGGAGCCTGCTTCTCCTTCTCCCTCTGCCTCTCCCGCTGCTCATGCTCTCTCTCTCTCTCTCTCTCTCTGTGTCTCAAATGAATAAATAAAAAATCTTTAAAAAATAAGAATACAATTTATTCTCAATTAGTTACAAGGTAACCTTTAGAGTACAAAACTATTCATTGCAAAGGAGCAAATCAAATTATAACAATCTTTGATCTTTTGGTTCTAAACACACTAAAATACCATCCAGTTAGAACTTTCCTGTTTTTAAAGTTATATTTGAAGTACATGTTGATGCCACAGAGGTTGGGCAGTCACTGAGTCAATGCTCTTTCTGGGCTCAGTTGAAGATTTTGTTTTTTCTTGATTTTCAAATTAAATCTCCTTGAAATACTAAGTAGAAGACTGAGACCAGAGTGGTGGAGACTTTACTTAATTTTTTAAATTTTATCAGGAATGTTTTTAAAGGCTGTTTACAAAAGACCATGTACAGCTGTGGTTCAGCTACAATTGAAAAATTAAGGAACTCACATGGCATTTTCAGGGTCTCATTCCAAATGGAATTTTCCAGACAGACAAAAATTGTACTCTTCTTGTCCTTAGCCCTCTTGAAGTTTAAAAAAAAGGGGGGGGGGGGCAAGATAGGAAGTGTAAATGATGAAGGAGGGCCCCGGAGGAAGCTCTGGGAAGCTAAAGGGTTCGGAGCTTCATGTAAAATGTCTTGATAAGAAGTCTAGACTATCTGTAATTTGCTGATTTTGAGGAAAACCAGATTATTAAGAAATCCTGTGAAGCCAACCCTACAGTAAGAGCTGAAAATGCATGTGGGACTTGGGATGGCATGTGGGAGCAGGGATTCCCACACTCCTTGAGTCCACAGCACTGATTATCTATGACCCCAAGTGACATTCAGGAGTGACTGCTATCACAGAGGGGGGTAAAAAAGCCACAGAAACAGAAGGACAAACATATTTAAGTGCCAAAAAAAGAAGAAAAATTGTAAAAATGCAGACAGGAGGAAGATAGAAACTATAAAATCTGTTACATGTAACATCTAGAAGTTCTTACTTGGAGGGACTGAGTTGAGTAACATAGCATGAGCAGACAAGGCAAGTAGGACGCCCTTTGTGCAAATTAGTACAATGCACAACTTGCAAAACTCAGGAAAACTATTCATTAGTAGTTTTGTTACAAACTCAATGATGTGAACCTTTATGTTTCACCTGAATATTCAATAGGATAGAGTAGACAACTGGCTAAAGAAATATTTAGTCATGGTTACATTAGCAAACCACTTGTTAAATTCCCTGAGCTGCATATTTTAAGGGACCACATGAGATAAAATTGATCTATGTCTTGGTTCTTATTTCTGCCAAGAGTTGAGACATCAGACACAAAATAACTCATAACAGACTGAGATATTAACACCAAAAGCAATTAACATTGCTTTTCTATTTCTCCACAGTGACCGCCTGCTTCCTCTTTTCTCAACACACTTGGAAATCTATTAGTCACATTGGCCTTAAAAGCCACACCTTTGCAGCAGAGCTGTCCTTAAAAAGGAGGAAAGAGGCAGCTGGTCCTCCCACTGAGTTCAAACAGAAAGTGCCCATTCCGTTTTTTCCTGGGCCCACCCCTCTCCTGCTCTAGTCCCTCTAATAAGGAAAATAAATGTGCTTGCAATTGAATCAACATCCTGAAAACCAGCACCGAGATATTTTTAATTATCTTATTTGTTCACTCCCCACTTACTCCCACACCTTCTCCCATTTAAATAGTATCATCCAAATATCCCAGAGGCGATGAATCAATGCTTGGGTAACTTGCAGATGCCATGAGAAATAGAGCAAGAAATCAGGCTCTTTCATTCCAGGAAAGAAAAGAACAACCAGGTTGCCTGGAAACGTCCCCGTGCCCACCAAGAAACATGGGAGCATCTGCTGCCCAGGCTCTGAGCCCCTGGGAGGAGCAGGGTGTGAGTGACAACAGTCACCAGGCCTCCCCGCATTGGTTTCTTGGCATGAGGGCCTCAATCTGCGAGGTGTCCCCCATATCACAGAGGTTATGTGCGTCACAGATTCCAGTCTGTCCCAGCAGGACCGTTTAATTTTACAGTAACAAAATCCTTTCTTGCAATTACCTTAAATATGTGAAGATGCCCTCTGCAAAAGCCCCCCCCACCCCAAGGACAAAGTTGGCCCGGCTCACCTCAATAATGTAGAGGACCACGTTCTTATAGAAACAGTACAGGATGCACTTGGTCACCCGATTGTAGCTCCAGGCGCCATGGACCAGGAGCAGCTTCTCCAAGTAGGAAAACTGAGGGGGAAACAATGGCAAAGTTCAGGAACACCCATCCTTTAGGAACAAAAGTCACAAAATGTTCTTCGGGGACAGAGAAGGTCATCGAGGAAGCCAGATTCTGCAGAGAACCTGAGAAAACCATTCACTTCTGGAAACCAAAGGTAGATCTTTCAGGTCCGGTGAGGACAACTAAACTCTCCTCTTAAATCTACATAGCTAATATTTTCCCCAAATGCCAGTTTGAACCTCTCATTGTTATTCTTGTGAATTCTGTTTACACAAATACTTTTTTAGGGTCTTAACTCTTAGGAGAAGGTGACCTCTTGAACTGGAAGAAAAGAAAAGCACAGTGGCAACCAGACGCTTCTATTCAATCAGATTTGATGGTGACCAGGAGCAAGGGACAGGAATACTCGTGCACCAGTATCCTCTTTTAAAAAGGGATGCACATAGGGACATGACCTATTTCCACTGTCAGTCCACACGTTAAAAGCAACTGCACATTCACAGAGACACAGAGACACTCAGGTGCAAACACACAGCCTTACCAGCCACACCCATTTTGTTCTCCTTTTTTGCTTCCAACTAGTACAGAGTACCTCTTGCTAGAGTGCTATGCAGCCAAGAAAAACAAAAAACCAACAAGTGGCTAACTGATACTAAGGTGACAGTGATGGAATGGATCTTGCAGTTTGAAATACTGAGCAATATTCAGTAAAATCCCTGAATCCTCTTTGGGGCAGGGGGGTCTTCGGGCCCCACTTGAATCCTATCCCCTCAGCATCCTCTTAGCCTGGCTCTGCTTTCTGTGGCCTACTTCACAAAGGTCCCCAAAAGTGTGAAGATGAACTGGAGGGAGGGAAATGAGGGTTTTTTTGTTGTTGTTTTGTTCTGTGGACTGTGATGTGCCCTGGCATGAAGGCACCATTAGGGGTGATCCTGTTTGAATTCACGATTTCTATACATTGATTAGCCTTGTACCACACTGAAATGCCCCTTGGTTGCCTTGAACTAAAACCTCCCCTGTTCCAAGTCACAGGGCAGTCCTCGGGCTCATTCTCCCAGAAGAGATAATCGGGCTGTATTGAGAACATCCATAAACTTCAGAAATTCTTTTGCTATTGCAAACTTCCTATTAATTTCTGATTACTTCTGAAATTAAATTTAACTATCAGTAGAAAAGAAAAACTCTGATTGGAAATGTAATTTTCTTTTAAGAAAACATTTTCTTTCAGGAGGAAGCCACGCAATAATTTCCATTAGCCCTGAAGAAGGGAGCTTGATCCGACATGACATCACATTTCATGAGAGATCTACCCAGGAGATTGGGGGTAAGGCACGTCACTCAACTGCATACTCCAAAAGCTATATGGCCACTTCAAAATGGCAGGAGTAGGTGCATATGGAAAAATAAAACTCTCCATAAAAGCTCATTAAGGTTTCCAAAGGGGAATAGGGAATCATAAAATAACTGGCTAAACAAATAAAAAGGAAGTTTGCATTTGACCCAGACCCCCTGCTGTTAAACTTCAGTGGGCACACAGAACATCTGCTGGAGTCATCCGGAATGACTCAACGTTAGTGCTACAGTGATTTGTGTTCAGGGGAAAAAAAACACATATAACCTAAATCAAAATGCTATTTTCAGGAGGTCGTTCAAAAGATGTTAAGAAGGTAGGGGGCAGGAACGATCGCCCCCTGAGGAGAAGAGGCAGCTGGGGCCAGAGGCGCTGTGCCCTAGGCCGGTGCAGGTTGCCCACGGGCAGGGCAGCAGATCAGCAGGCAGCTGGCAGTCCCAGGGGCTGCGCTGTGGGCGAAAGCACAGGCAACCAGGGAAGAAGTACAACCAGAGCTCTGCCCATTTCATCATTTTTCCCAAGGACTGGGAGCTAGTTTTTTCCTCCGTATATAACCTTCCAGGGCACTGCCTCAAAAACCCAAGCAAAAATGTATTCATCCACATGCAATAAAGAGACAAAGCCCAAGATATTGACTTCAACCAGAGACATTTATCATTTCACTGGGGGCAAAGGGATACGTAAAATTGCGGCCTTTCTTGCTTCTAACTGAAGTCGGGTAGAGAAGGTGTAAGGCAAAGAGCAATGCTCCCCTGAAACCACAGGACCTCTCCCTGATCGTGGGCAGGACCACGGACAGGAGAAATGAAGACCCACAGACACGTGCGGCCCCTCGTCACTTCCTCTGGCAGTGAACACTATTACAGCGGTGGGGCAAGAAAACCCCTAACTCTAACTCTAACTCTAACTCTACCTCTACCTCTACCTCTACCTCTAACTCTAACTCTAACTCTATCTCTACCTCTACCTCTACCTCTACCTCTAACTCTCCTCCGAACGCTTTTTTGATGCTTTTAATTTGAAGAGAGCAATTGCTCCAGATTCCACAGCCTATTAGTATGCAGTTTTAATAAAGCAGGTCATGGAATCTCCCTTCCCCAGACATTTTAAAGAAAAAGACAGACAAATATTTGCCTGGAACTCCTAGGAAACCTCTAAAGATCCCTTCCAGCCACATGATGCTATAACTCAAGTATTTAATAATGCTGGGGTGTATAACATCTACAGCTGCTGACAGACTACAGGAAGCGAGAGTCCCACAGGCCTCGGAGTGGTTGACTCAGGAAAGTGAATGGGCAGGTGTGCGGGGCTGGTCCCCAAGGTCATGTACAGGTCTGGCGTTCTCTGACCCTGGATGCTCGGACCTGAGGCCGGTCACCCAATGTGAAGGAGCCCCAGTGTTCCCACCTGTACAATCAGAATTCCTTCCCCTACCTACTTTAGCATTTATCTTGAGGATTTAGTTGAAATCAACAGAGAAACAAGATTGATTTCATGTACTTTCTGGAGCCATGAGGATTTTGTAATTCCTCCCTGTGTTTGCAGAACCACCAGCTGGGAGGGAATCAGAGAGGTGATCTAATGCAGAACCCCCCTCTGGGGAGGTGGACCCCAAAGCTGCACAGGACCAGCCTGCAGCCCTGGGGTTGTTGGAAACTCTTTCACAGTTCATACGCAGCCCCTGATCTCAGCTTGAAGGGATAAAAAGCCATTACTACCTGTGTTCATGTGATTAAGGTTAACACATTCTTCAAATGACTAAGCACTGGAAGGACATGAGGAAACCCTAGCTAACCACCACATGAGCAGACATTTTATCATGACATACGCAATCTGTAGACAGAAGGAAACGATCGGTGCCCATTATGAGGTCTAGATTTTCTGGATGATCAAGCAGGCCAAATGATCTAGATATGTCACCTAAGGTCGGAGGTTGGCTATTTTCCTTCACTTTTTGGCTTTCTACCATTGAGGAGTCGGCAATTCTTTCATCCTTAGGCCATTTGTTCAGTAACTACAAAGTGCACCAGGAACCCTTGCATGCAACATCTGATCCAGAACGGAATGGGCTGACCTTGGCCTAATAGCAGGAGGACGTTTGCTACTGACCGTGGGTTACGGCTACTGCACCCTGGTTATACCTACAGAGAGGGTAGCCGTTGTAAACCACCACTTTCCCCTGACCTCGAATGCCTGAGGAGAGAGTGTTCTAGCACCTTCTGAAAAGAGGACAGATTCTGGGGTCAGGATGGTAAAGAAGAGATATAATGAACACAGCCATTCTTTAGCATGGGACGGCACAAGGAAAAGCCCATGCAGCAGATGTGAGAGTTGAGGGTGAGAGACCATCTTAGCAGGATCAGAGACCTATCTGTCAGGAATGACACCCTGACTGGAGGACAGAAAGCTCGGCCAACCTCACAGCTAGCAAAAACAACCACAACAACCAGAAGTACAGGGCCTTTCAACTGTACAAGATCAAGGCCACAGGGAAATCTGAATACTCTGGTGGTTTTGTCTAGACACAACCTCAAAAGGGTGGCAGAGTTCTTGGGGCTGGACTGAAGGTCAAGCACCAATCAGACCTTCATGCCCAGTGGACACCTCTGTCAACAGGATGGGACAGCTGGTCAACCATGCCTCTGACCTGCGCGATGGCATAATCCGAGTTGTTGGTCGCCTGCATGCCTTCATTCCCACTGATTCCTACACCGACGTGAGCTGTCTGGATCATCCCAACGTCGTTGGCACCATCCCCAATGGCGAGGGTGATGGCCTTTACCCGCTTCTTAACCACATCCACTATCTCAGACTTCTGCAGAGGAGACACCCTGTAAGAGAAGAAAGACATGATGACTATATGCATCTTTCCAGAGGAAACAGCTGTAATCTACATTTAGCTACATTGAAAGGGCAGTTATTGGACAATTTCCAAATCCAATACATACATTTTATGCTCATGTGCAAAGAAGCTTTCAGAAAACAGTAGCTTGTGGCTTTCAAGTATTTGCCAACTTCACAGATGAAATACACAAGTCAAAACTAACTTAAAACACAGCCTGTTTGTAATCGTTGTGCCCAGTGGGAACCATACGTGCAAACTCCTAAGGGGCACATGTGCCCCCGTGAATGATAAAGGCAAGGAAGCTAGTTACAGAGGTCTTAGGAAATGTCTTCCTAATAAATCAGAAAACTAGCAAAGACCCCATTTTTGCTTTGCTGTTCATCATATACAACCTAGGGCTGGCAAGGGAACTTTCTGTAAAATCTGCTTTCACAGAAGGGAAAGAAAATTGGCAGGGGCTTGAGAAGTGCAGAAAGAGGACCAGAGTGAGAGAGAAGAAAGCCTTCCCCTTTTCCACCTCAGAAATGGAGGCAGTGTCTGAAGGGCAGCCACGGCAGAAGGATTTAAGAAGGGGGCAGGGGGTGTCACAGGGATAGAAGGTCTACCAAAGCTCAACTGTGCCGAAGCACAGCCCAAAGGGGGAAGATAAGATTACATTTGCCAAAGGGGGACTGTTTCTGCAAGGGAGGAAAGAATATGGGCTATTTTTCATAAGCCCTCAAGTCATCTGGGAAGAAGACCCAGTATAAATCTATGGGGTCTAAAGCACAGCAATGTTAATTATAATGAAGTCTTTGTTCAGAGTATAAGACCAGATAATACAATGACTTGAGAAAACTACTAGTACCTCAGGACTGATTTATTTTAAATTCCGAAATGGTGAGCTGATAGTCACTTTGGGAAACTGACAGGTAAACTCCTTCTGAATGACTAAAACACACACGCGCACATACACTACATGCATGTGCGTGCACACACACACACACACAGTAAAATGCCTGTCCAGGTTTCCCAGAGATACACTGGCTGCACCCACATATGTACTGTACTTGTAAACTAGAATAAACACTTAAAGGCTTTCTCAGTAGAACTAGGACCTCTCATATGGCCTCTGACCTTCAAAACATCAGTTTCCAACAAAAAACTTAAAATGTACACATTTAATTTTACCAACACAGAGACCTATCTGTGTTTGGGGAGACAGCGAACTGGATTTAAAGCACAGTTACTCTGAAAGTCTTTGCTCAATGAAATGAAAATTAGCAAGTTAGAAAAACAGAATCTACAGGTTGAAAGGCCTTTAGGACCCAGGTTGTATGATCTACTATCTCTTTTATCATTTTCACAGTGATTTTCAATAATGGGAATTTACTGCCTCCCAGGGCAACTGCAACCACTAAAAATTATTATTACTTTTTTGTGGTTGATAAGCTATGCATACTTCAAAACACTAATTCTGTCCTCTGGGTTAGGCTAGAACAAGTATAACTCCTCTTTCAAATATTAGGAAGGCTGAACTACAAAGACACCTATCACATCCTTCCTCCCAAAGTTCAGTGTCTGCTAGCTAAACAGTCCCAGATTCTTCACCCATGATTTAACAGGCATGCTTCAGAATTTACAAATAACTTCCAAGTATGATCTTCCAGACAGCTACAAGCAGAGCAGAACAGAATCACTATTTCCCTGGAGCAGATTACTAGACCTACGATTACATATATATATATATCTCCTAACATGAAATCACTGGAAGCTTTACTCTCTCCATCACTGACCCTCCAGGGCACCTAAATGTAAGCAATTTTCACGGACAAGGATATAAGCTGTAGCTCTTCCTTCCACATTTGTGCAAGGACTACTTGGCGCCCAGGGCTGACCTTGACATTCCTCTCTCTTTAAACTCCTGATTGGCAGACACAGCTCTCACAATTCTCATCGGCTACACAAATGTGATTTCCTGTTTCATCTCTAAGCGTAATAGAAGCAGAGATCAAATATGGTATGGAGAAAACAATGTAGGATTCGAAGTTAAATTAGTGAGCATGACCTTCTCCTGTTCCCTATACTATTTAAACAGCGGAAATAATTCTGAGTTCTTGTCTTTCCATCAGTAAAAATGGGAAAATGAGAGCCAACCACCTCATGAGATGGTTGATATATTTATGTGAAATCATTATGTTAACTTGCCAGTGTGAAACAAAAGTTATCTCCTCCCCCACCTGCAAAACTTTGGTTGCTGGAAAAAGAAAACTGGACATGTCTGAGAGCGGCACACCATCTAACCCATGATCCCCTGTTAAGTATTCTGGGGTGCTGCAGTGGGAAATTATTGATTTTCAAGGAAAAGACAGCAACATCTCTCAGATAGTAGTACAACATACTAGCTTGAAGTAGCTCACAGCTTCGATATTAGATCATGCCACATTCCTTTTTTATAAGATTTTATGTATTTATTTGAGAGAGAGAGTGAATGCACACAGGGGAGGGGCAGAGGAAGATGGAGAGAGAGAATCTCAAGCAGACTCCCCACTGAGCATGGACACCCCCCCCAACACGGGCCTCGATTTCATGACCCTGGGATCACGACCTGAGCCGAAATCAAGAGTCAGACGCTTAACCGACTGAGCCACCCCGGCACCCTGCTACATTCCTTTTTATGACATATCTTTGTGAAGCTGAGTTTTTACGGCTGCTGTGATAAAAAGCAAATAGCTTATGAAAAATCAACGTGGAACAGGAAATGAGGGACGCAGCATTCATGCTTTCTCCAAGGTTTGAGAAGGTGTACAAAGCGCAACAGGTGTGCATATCATAGCACTGGCAAGTGATTATGGTTATTTAAGGATGAAAGAAAGTATTATTTCTTTCCAGCTACGTGCATTAGTGTTTCAAATGTCTGCTAAGTCGTTAGGACATAAATACTTCTTAAATTGTTTGACCCTCCCTTCCTAACAGTTAGAACTGTTTGGTGTTCTTTCTTGGCCTATGGGCTTTGCTGAGGAACTCCTGAGACACTAGGGCATGGTGAATGCAGAGAATCTGGGAACCTCTGCATTGATCATTTCCCTCCATGGTCACATCGATCACTCTACAGTCATTCACTCACTGAAGTAGAACTTCACCACCGTTTAATCTCAAACTCTTCTTCTGCGTCCATGTACGTATTATAGGAGCACACTGGACAGACACTTAAATAGCACTGGGCTGCTTGAGACTGAGACTCCTTGAGATTCCACATGCCACCCAAGTAATCGAGTAAGCTGGTCTCTTTATCAGCTGACCTGAAGTGATGCAGAGCCAAATGAGGTCTACAGGGCAAAAGGGGAATCTGTAGGGCAGAAAGCTCAACCACACAAACATGGTGCTGTGGGAGGCAGGAAGGGCTGTGGTGGGAAGCTCCTACACAAATCCATGGTTTTCTTCGAGGTTAAAGTTGTTGCTTTTGTGTCAAGGGGTTTAGCAATAAGCCAGCCAACAAGCAGGTAGCAAGTCAAATATACTCACTACATTTGCCACTCTGGGATTTGAATCTCCAACAAATCAAGTCATGATTGTGATGACTTTAAGCAAAATCTATGAAAGTCCAACAGCTGCCTTTTCCCAAAAAGCAAGAATAAAGAGGGAACCTGACTGGGGTATATAAACCGAGTCATACTCCAGCATTTTAGAAACATGAAATTCTCATCAAGGATTTATTATGCCCTCGGCTGTGATGCCTTGAGAAAATATAATTCTAGCACACACGAGGGGTTCAAAACAGATGTCAAACAGCTAATTTCTACAGAACTGAGCAGGCACCCCATTACACTTCAGCCATACAAACTATTTTAGTATGCCAAGTTGCCACGAAGCACAAACCAGCTCCTTTTTAATCTTAATTTGTAACATGGAATCGCATGCCACACTTAAGTATTCCCAGCATATAGTACATTCAACCTATAAAATAAGAATTCCAGACCACATCTGAGCTAAGCTAGGCACTTGGGACAGTCCTATAACCTATTTTAGTGCCTTATGAATAAAAATACAAAATCAAAGATCTTTAATCAACTGGAGAGATATTCTACCTACTTTTTTGGCTAACACAATAGATTCTAAAATAAAAGTTTTCCTTTTGAGACTTAAAAAAATTCAGTATCCTAAATGTAGGGATCCGAAGGGGTACGTGCACCCCAATGTTTATAGCAGCAATGTCCACAATAGCCAAACTGTGGAAAGAGCCAAGATGTCCATCGACAGATGAATGGATAAAGAAGAGGTGGTATATATACACAATGGAATATTATGCAGCCATCAAAAGGAATGAGATCTTGCCATTTGCAACGACGTGGATGGAACTGGAGGGTGTTATGCTGAGTGAAATAAGTCAGTCAGAGAAAGACATGTATCATATGACCTCACTGATAGGAGGAATTCTTAATCTCAGGAAACAAACTGAGGGTTGCTGGAGTGGTGGAGGGTAGGAGGAATTAGGTGGCTGGGTGATGGACATTGAGGAGGGTATGTGCTATGGTGAGCACTGTGAATTGTACAAGACTGATGAATCACGGATCTGTACTTCTGAAACAAATAATGCAATATATGTTAAGAAAAAAAAAGAAGAAGAAGAAGATAGCAGGAGGGGAAGAATGAAGGGGAGTAAGTCGGAGGGGGAGACGAACCATTAGAGAAGATGGACTCTGAAAAACAAACTGAGGGTTCTAGAGGGGAGGGGGTTGGGGGGATGGGTTAGCCTGGTGATGGGTATTAAAGAGGGCACATTCTGCGTGGAGCACTGGGTGTTATGCACAAACAATGTATCATGGAACACTACATCAAAAATTAATGATGTAATGTATGGCGATTAACATAACAATAAAAAATTATTTAAAATGGAAAAAAAATTCAGTATCCTGGAGTATCTAATTTTACGGGATATGTGTTCTTAAAATTTTTTTAAAGATTTATTTATTTATTTGAGGGAGAGAGAGAGAGAGAGAAAGAGAA